GGGGAGATGGCTCAGTAGGATAAGCGCTTGACTGGCAAACGCAAGGATCTGAGTTCAATCCCCGGTTCCGCCAAAAAAGAAAAATTCAGAATCAGAAGGTAGAGCCAGGTGTGGTGACTTGCATCTGGGAAGCTGAGGTAGGATTATAAATTCAAGCTCAGCCTGGGAAACTTAGTTAAAACTCTTTTTCAAAAAATAAAGCAAAGTGTGAAGGCCCTAGCTTCAATCCTCAATACCATAAAGACAGACACAGACAGGCAGACAGAAGGAACTTGGGGCGAGGGCCACAGCTCCATGGTAGAGAGCTTGCACTACATGCACAAGGCCCTGGGTTCTATCCCAGCTCCTCAAGGAAAAAAAAAAAAAAAAGATTAAACTTTATAAGGTAACAAGAGAACCCTCTCTGAGCACTCTCCTCTCCAGGACGCACTAGCCTACCTGTGCACATCTGCAGGGCTTCCAGCTCATCAGCGCTGAGATGCACGTAAGAATGCAGGATGCTCCAGTCCTGTCGATGCCACACCAGGGCAGGCAGCGTCCTGGGAACCAAGGCAAAAGCTCAATCACATGGCTACTGGCCCACACCTTAGAGGCAGGCTCCATCTCTTTCTGAAGGAGGAAATGAGGAAGGTACAGCCCTACACTCGCTCACTCGGCAGGGGCGGAAGTGAGACCACACCTTGAAAATGCACACGTGTCCAGGTTTCACATTAAGGCAATGCCAGGTTTTACGTCTCTGCTTTTTGGGTCAGAGTGGCTACGCTGCAGACTGCCAGAGAGAGCAGCCAGGGACCTAAATCCAAAGTGTCCCTCGTAAGCAAGAAATTTTCTAAGCCAGCTGTGGCACTTGCCTACACTTCCACCACTTTGGGAGCGTGACACAGCAGGACTGAAAGTTCAAGTTCAGCCCAGGAATTTAGCGACTTAAGAGTCACTCTTATCTTAAAATAGAACAAAATATCAAAGGGCAGGGATGTAGCTCAATGCAAAGACCCTGGGTTCAATATCCAGTCCTGGGAGAAAAAAAACACTTGTAGCAAAACAAGTACTTCAGGAAAATGTGCTGAATTTGCCTGTGGGTTTGGGAATCTCCCAATACCCTATGACGCACAAGCTACAGCTATCTTAAAAAGTATAAAAGGAAAAGGTAATAGGGTAGAAAAATACAGCTCAAAATGGAGGAGAGCAGGGTGACAATTCTGTCAGTTTCACATAAGATGCGATCATAATTATAATCATTTCTAATGCCTTAAGGACAAGACATGTGCTGAGCACATTACATAAATTATTTCCAATTCTAAAAACAAACTTGGGGCTGGGGAGATAGCTCAGCAGAATAAGTACTTGCCTGGCAAGTGCAAGGGCCTGAGTTCAATCACTGGTTCCACAAAAAAACAAAAAACAAAATAAACAAAAACTTATTAATGAAAATATTAGTGGCCTTATTTTACAGATGAAGAAACTGAGGCTCAGAAACATTCAGTATCTTATATGTAGTCACAGAGCTAACAAGTCACCTTTCCAGGACTTTTTCTCCAGTACTGGGGGTTGAAACCCAGGGCCTCTGCACTGAGCAATATCCTGAAGTTGCGAAGCTGCCCAGGCTGGGCTCCAACTCATGATCCTCCTGCCTTAGCCTCCAGAGTGACTGGCTTACAGATGGGCACCACCATACTTGGCTCCCTTCCAGGATTTTAACCCAGGCCTTTCTCCTTTTCATTATCTTACCACTTACCTCTGCAAACCTCAATTTTCTCATTCATATAATAGAGTACTAATGCTTTCTTATCCAGTTCTTAGGAGGAGTAAGATAAGTTTAATAACTTAAGGTATCTTAATGTATCTTGTCGGGCGCCCTCCCGTCCAGCAGGAAAGCACTCAACACGATTTGTGCGGCGGAAAGGCTTTAATCGTTCTCCTGAGTGGCGCGCCCCGAGAGAGCACAGTTCCTCTCTCCGTCCCTCTTCCTGTCTCTGACCCTCCGCGTCGCGGAGCGTTTCTTTTATATCCTCACACTGTCCAATCGAGGGTTGATACATGTTACAGCGCCATTGGTTACAATCTCAGGGAAGGTATCTTACATCATTATAGGCGGGTGTATAGCGACTGCGGAAGCAGGAAATGAGCGCCATCTTGGCACACTCGGTGGGAGGGGTAATCTAGCGCAGGCTTCAAGGGCTGCAGCAGGCCTCACCCAATGGTCCCTAGGAGTTTTGGTTCTGAAGCCGCGATTCGCGGCATGGGCTCTCTACAGTATCTTACATAATGCGTGATATGCAATAAGCATGCACAAATGCTAACTTCTCCTGCTTTTAAAAAAGGATCTATGAGGGCCTGCCAGATAGCTCAGCAGACTAAAGTGCCTGCTTAGGCAGGCTCAGTGACTGGGTTCGACCCCCAGCGTGCCCTGCCGACCCCACTCCTGGGGCACACTGAGACTGGGTGTGGTAGTGCGCCTCTGTAATCCCAGTGCTCGGGAGGCTGAAAACAGAAGGATCACTAGGAGTCTGATCTCTGTAGTAAGACCCCGTAGACCCTGTGCTAAATACTTGAAAAATAAATAAAGATCCACGAACAAGTTAGACTTCATAAACAGCCCACCTTATTTTTCTTACAGTCTGACAAAACTAAACAAAAGGAGCAACTTAGTTCAAATAGAAGCAGAAACCCAGCCTGTGGTCCAGCTGCCTGTCTTTATAAATAAAGTTTTACACACAGTAAACTCATTCACTCATATCTGTCTGTGGTTGCTTTCGTGCCATCCAGGCAGGTGAGTAGTTGGGATGGAGGTTGTCAGGCTCACAAGCCTAAAATATTTTCTCTCTGGCAAGAAAATGTTTGCTAAAAAAAAAAAAAAAGGTTGCTAACACCATGCTTCAGAATAGTCCTATTTTTGGGCCAGGGAGATGGCTCAGTGGAAAAAGCGCTTCTCAGGCAAGCGCCTGAGTTCAATCCCCCGTTCTGCAAAAAAAAAAAAAAAAAAAAAGAATAGTCCTATTTCTACAGTGAAAGAATGATCTGTCCCAATTCAGTCACCTTGAACCACTAGATGTAAACTGAAGCATCAGACAACAATGGTACTTCATTTTCAGACTAATGTACTATGCTATTTATATCAAATGTGCTACAGAAGAGCGCACACAAGAACATCTAGCATTCCAAACTGTCTGCCAAGAAATGTTGCACTTTTTAATAATTAGTGACAATACCTGGTAAACTCCTGGACAGCTTCTATTTTGGGGTGATAGACGACAACTCGTTTTTTTAGCATCAGTGCCATGTGTAATATAACAGTTTCCATTCCAAACTGAGACACAATGTCTTTAAGAAAGAGCATAAAGACATTATATTAAGTATTATACAGTATAAAGTTTTTATCAAAATGAATTCTTATCAGAGAATGCAAAATTATTTTCAATACAGAGCATGTTTAGGCAAATACAAGCAGTACAGAGCACCTCATTCGGTGGATGGGCATATTTATCCTAAAGCTGGATGCACAGATGAAGTGGAATAAATGACGGGAAGGAGAAGCCCTGTCTTTCAGTGTCATGCAAAAGTCCTAATTAAAAAAAGAAATGTTCACTAACCCCCAGCGCATGACATTACTCAGTCGTTGGCAGCTAACTTGAAGAACACTGAATGGCTCAACAAGGTACCAAGACCGCAAAGGGCAGCAGATCCAGAGCAGAGGGGCAGGCACTAGGGAGGGGTGAGGAGGAGGCCTCGCCTTCGGAGCTCCTCCCTCCTCGCTCTCAAGGGCCCTGAAGGCCTCAGGCTGCCTCTGCTGTTCCGCATTTCCCAGCTCGTAGCTGGGCTGGGACTCTGGGCCAGAGGCTTGTTCATTCCAGATGAAAGAGACAACTGCTAAGATCTAGGGCAAGAACAACTAGGGAGGTCAGTAGAGACCCAAACCATGAAATGCAGCGTACTGGTGAAAAAACATTTCCCTAGTAACAGACTAGTATAGAAAGAATGTCCCCCAAGTGTTTTCCCTTGGCAAAATTCTAACTCAGTAAGGAAATATGGGAGTTGGAATACCTTCCTGTATAGGAAATACAAGAACAAATGAAAATAATGCATCGAATGAGGCACTAGTCCAGGGAGAGGTTGCCCTCGGCTCAGCATTTTGTTGTTGGCCTCACTTTTTCTTTCTCTTACCTTTGATGGAGCCTGCAAGGTATGCCTTTCGGGCATCAAAGTCCTTGCTCAGAAAAGAGCCATTTTCCTCACTCTGACATATCCCCTTTGTGAGAACTGCAATGTAACTCTCCATCATTTTAACTGGGCTTCCATGTTTCAAGTACATTCTGGAAGAAAGGCCAAAAACAGACTGTACTTTTACTTGGCATGAGTGACGTAGAGACAGGCAACAAGACTAGGCAAGGGTTCTTTTTTAAAACCCTAAAGCCAATTTGTGAACAGACTTCTGAATGCCTGAGTCTGTTCACAGCATTTATTACATCTCTAATTTAGTTAAAAACTCTACTTAATAAAACATGACAGATCTTTAACAGCTCTTTGAAGGCAGTCCTTTCCTTACATTTGGAGATGAGTTCTGTCGTCTCTCACAGCACAATTAACTATGGACTTTGCTTTTGCAGTGCTGGGGGTTGAATCCATTGGGCACAACAGATGAGGGGTCCACGACTTACAAGCCTAGCCCAACTATGATCTTGCCCCATTATTCTCAAGAACATCACATACTTATCGCTTTCACGTCTCATGTTCACCACTGGGGTTCTTAGTCATACAACTCTGTTTTATTGCTGCAATTTCCTTTGACAAGAAAGGAGTTTAATGCATTGTTCACAGAGAAAGCAGTCATTAGATGTCGAGCCCATACTTATTATCAGTGCTCCCAGAGGTAGCTATATTTAGATAATTAAGAAATCCAAGCTCTTTAAGTTTCCAGTGATAAATGCACATTAGAGACATTCATCATCAATCTGAGACTTCCAAAAACTGCTGACAGGAAACTGGCTACATTTATAGCCACATGTGGAGTCAGTCCCTTTCCCCTTGAAATCGCTGCCTGTGAACAAGTAAATTTTGCTTGAAAAACATGACTGGGGGCTGGGAGCACAGCTCAACGGCCGACAATGCCTATCATCAGGTGACCCTGGGGTCAACCCTCAGCAGGCCCCGCCCAATAAACCAGACCATGCCTGTTTTCAGCAAGTAATGTGACAAAGCATCAGAAAGAAAATAAAACAGATGTTTATGACAGACTACTTGAGAATTGTATTTACTGCAGACTGAGTGAAAAAAAGGAAAAATCTAGTATTTTAATAGATTACCAAATTTTGTCAATCATTACGTTTTTTAATTTGTAAAAATTTTTTCAATTGCTGGGCATGGTGGCGCACATCTGTAATCCCAGTACTTGGGAGGGTGAGGCAGGAGGATTATTGTGAATTTGAGACTAGGGTCGGCTACAAAGTGAGTACAAAGCCAGCCTAAACTGCATAGGAAGATCCTGTCTCAAAAAGATGGAGGGGCCAGGGAGATGGCGCAGTGGAATAAGCGCTTCCCTGGCAAGCGCAAGGACCTGAGTTCAATCCCTGGTTCCGCCAAAAAAAAAAAAAAAAGAAAGAAAGAAAAAAAAAATTCAATTGACCAATTGAGGAAAAAGAGGTGGAGAAAAATGAGTTCATATGTGAAAAATCCATAAACTAAAGTATAAACTTATAATGGAGGAACCTCCCTGCTAGGATATAAGAGATTGCAGGGGTTGTGGAGGTAGGGAAAAAAAAAAAAAAAACTTGTATTACTGGTATTTTTAAATTATATGCTTTATTACTAGTACCAAAAATGTTGATACTAGTAACTGGGCCAGCCAGATAGCTCAGAGGTCTAAAGTGCCTGCTTAGGCAGAGCACAGAGGCCAGGGTTCGATCTCAGATGTGCCATGCTGCCCCGCCCCCAGGGCGCACTGAGCCAGCAACTGAGACTGGGTGTGGTGGTGTGTGCCTGTAATCCCTGGGCTTGGGAGGCTGAAAACAGGAGAATCACTATGAGTCTGATTTATGTAGTGAGACCCTGTAGGCCTTGCAGACCCTGTACCAAATACATTAAAAAAAAAAAAAAAGTTGCCATTATTATAAAATTTTGTACAATACCATAAGCAAATACAGGAATAGATAAGACAAACATAAGAAAGTTGGTGAGGTAAGTGACTTCCTACAACTCTGGACCATGAGAGATGGAACAGACAGAAGAATTTCCCAAAATGACCTACAGGAGAACCACACAGGGCAACTCAGAGGACCTTCAGAAAGACACCCACAAGCTGCGACACCCAACCTGCACAGCTGATTCCAACTGAGCATAAAACCCTATTTCTCCCCAAAGCATGCGTAACTCCTATGAGTAGAAAACATAATACGCTAATTAAAAAATAAATAAATAAAAACCATACACACATCTGGACACAGCTATGCAGACCTGTAATTCCCACACTCTAGGAGGTTGAGGTAGGAGCCCTGCAAGTTTGAGCCCAGCCTGGACAACTTCATGACTTAGTGAGGCTCTGTCTCAAAATTAAAAAAAAAAAAAAAAAAAAAAAAAGAGCAGGCCAGTGAGAGCTGGGGATATCTGGCCTCACTTCCTCTGCCCCAGGGTGACAGAGGAGAGTCTACAGTGTTGCCGCACTGTGACACTGAGGAAGCTACACCCCCAGCCTGCCTTGTGGGGTCTGAAACAACCTTGCCTTCTAGAATATTCAGCCAAGGAACCTACCCTGATCCAATCAAATAAAATAGGAGACCAGTGTTTGTAGAAAAATACCTCTGGTATTTTTAGTTTATTGTCTGTGAATAGAATGACCTCCCTTTGTGTCTGTGCCACACTGGAAGACAACTGTTTATATTCCACAGTGAGCCATTGACAGTTCCTGAAATTTACCTCACAACAGCAAGAAGTCTCTCTTTTTTTTTTTTTAATGTTATTTATTTATTCACTTATTTGGTGGGGCCAGGGAGATGGCTCAGGGGAATAAGTGCTTCCCTGGCAAGCACAAGGGCCTGAGTTCAATCCCCGGTTCTGCCAAAAAAAAAAAAAAAAGCAAAAAAGATGTCCCTTCCGTTGTACTCAGACACACAGCACAGGGACAGGCTGGATGTTATTCACTTATTTGGTACAGGATCTCGCTACACAGCTCGGACTCATGGTGATTCTGTCTCAGCCTCCCCAGGGCTGAGATTACAGGTGTGCACTATCACGCCCAGTTTGGAGGTGGGCACAAGGTGCCTGGGGTTCTGGAGCAGGCACAGCATGTGGTGCCGGGGATCAGCTCATTGCACCTAGCTGTATAAACAGTAAAACCTCCTTTAGTCAAAGTACAATCTCACTGGAAACTCTTAGAAAATGAAGTTTTTGGTTTGGTTTCTTTCGTGTGTGCGTGCGTGTGTGTGTGTGTGTGTGTGTGCGTGTGCGCGCGTGCACGCTAGCAGGAGCATACAAGAATGAAAAAGGCAAAAAGGTAATAATTCATTGGACTTTGTTTTCCAGTATCAGGGATTGAACCCAGGCCCTTTAATGTTGTATACATTTCCACTGAGCCTCAGAATATCCCCAGCCTATTTATTTATTGGATTTACAAAGACAAAAAACATGAAATAATTCTCTTCAGCTCCCCACAAAACTACTGGGTGACAGCCTATGGGCTAGGTATTATACATACTACCTAGTTATAATTCTATCTAGTGATCAGGTTAAATACCAATAACACTAAAACTGAAGCCCCATTAAACTCTTTATCATTAAAGAAAAAGCCAATATCCCTAATATAATAAGAAAGATTTCATTAAGTCCACTAGAGGTACTAAGAAAATACAAGAGGTGGACTGGTATATTTTAGACAAATAATTTCAACATGAAGGGTGAAACTAAAGGAGTCTCCCTGAACTGTGCCTCACCACTCAGAATTTCCCACCCCTCAGCGCTGCAGCTGAGAACCACTTTCCTATGCTTTAACATAATTCAAGGGCTGGGGAGATGGCTCAGTAGAATAAGTGCTTGCCTGGCAAGCGCAAGGGCCTGAGTTCAATCCTTGGTACCACACACACACACAAAAATAATAATAAATAAATAAAAAACTGTCTCACACAAACCTAGCCACATATGGATGGCTTACCACTTCATAAGGTGCTTAACTTTCCACCCTGCGGAGGAAGCACCAAGCCTGGAAGTGGGGAGAAATAAAAGCCTCCAAAGTACCCAGGGACCCAACATGTCAGAAGCTGTAACTGCCCTGGCGAACTGCTTTTTCTCTCTCCCAAGGCCATTTTCCCAAATCACAGGAGAAATCAATACAGCAGAAGGGCAAGTCCTCTACAAAACAGCCTCTGCAGGGCTGGTCGAGATTTAATCGGGGAAGAGGGCTAATGTTTGCTTCCTCCATGTAGAAATCTGCTGTGTAACTATCAAAGGAGATCTCCATTTTGGTACATGAGCATTTAACATAGTTTTCATACAGACCTACACAATATCCTAGTGAAGGCGGCATATTTCTCTGGGTTAAAATCTTTGGCGGTCAGAACAATAGAAAAATGAGTCACCTGTCCAGAGAAACAAAAGAAGTACACTTTAAAAAGATACTTTAATGGAAGTTAATACATACTTTAATGAAATAATTTTATTTCTCTACTCTACCAGACCTCTGGTACAAGGCATATCAGCATTAAAAGGAAAAGACGATAATTTGAAAGCCCTCCCTTGCTTCTCTACAATTTTATCTGTAGCGTACATATGTTATATTATACTTACATTTATTTCCCACACAAGAGTATAAGTTTTAGAAAAGTTTTTTTCAAAAATACTTCATGGAGCCGGAGAGATGGCTCAGTGGAATAAGTGCTTGCCTGGCAAGCGCAAGGACCTGAGTTCAATCCCCAGTTCCGCCAAAAAAAAAAAAAAAAAAAAATCAAGAATAACTCAGCCATTATTGGATTCCTATTACTTTGTTAATTAAATTTTGTATCAATTCTAATTTTTTTTTTTTTTTTTACCATTTTACTAAAACACCTGCTCATGCAGAGCGCAGTGGCCGGGTTTCAATTTCCCTTGGGTGCTGTGCTGACCCTGCACCCAGGGCGTGCTGAGACAGTGGTTGGGCGTGGTGACACATGCCTGTAATCCCAGGGCTTGGGAGGCCGAAAACATGAGAATCACTATGAGTCTAATCTACATAGTGAGACCCTGTAGATTCTGTATTGAAATACATTAATTTTTTTTTTTTTTTTTAAATGAGGGGGGATATAGCTCAGCAGCATAAGAACCTGCCTGGCAAGTGCAAGGCTCAATCTCCTATACCACTAAATAAATAAAAATAAAAAGAATAACTCAGGAGGCAGAGGTAGGAGGATTGCTGGGAGTTCAAAGCTACCCTGGGCTACACAGTGAGTTCAAGGCCAGCCTGAACTATATGGGAAGACCCTGTCTCAAAAGCAACAGCAACAATAAAGCCTCCTATTTTTCCTCCTATTTAATATCCCCTAATTTCATCAAAACAGAAGTAGGATGGTAAACCAGACCTACCAATCAGCAACTCTTTTTCATTAAGGAGATAAAAGGATGGAAAACAAAACACATCTCAGTAACAAATAGTTGTTGAAATAATTCTGAACAGTACTCCAATCTAAAGAGTGCTACTTTGTTTCATTTACTTATTTGCTTCTACTACTGCAAATACAAATTTCTCATAATCATTTACCTGATATTTCCATCAGTGAGACCAAATTCAGAACTTCATAGAATGCAAAGCATTGAAGAAATACATTTTTTAAAAATCATAGTTTATGGGGCCAGGGAGATAGCTCAGCAGAATAAGCGCTTGCCTGGCAAGCGCAAGGGCCTGGGTTCAATCCCCAGTTCCACAAAAACATTTTATTTTATTTATTTATTTATTTTAACATTTATTTATTTATTGTGTGTGTGTGTGTGTGT